ACAAAATGACAAAGGGTAAAGCTGGGAGCGGTTATTCCCAGTGATAAAGGATCCCCTCACTGCACGAAGGATTCTCCATGGGCTCTTAGAAAGAGCTGGGCCTACTTGGTACATTTTAAGGATATTTAGTTTTATAATTTAGATATGATTATATAATTTATGTATGATTTTCCATTTATATATGATTTTCAAGACCAAAGCTACTGTGTAGATGGAAGTTTGCTATCCTAAAGAAGCTGTGCGTTCTCGGCTCTTTATTTTTATTTATTTTATTTATTTTTTTTGAAAAGCTAAGCCAGTCTCCGGACTGAGAAGTGCCGAGTGATAAAAGTGTCAGGAGTCCAGAGGGAATTGCCGAAGGCTCAGGGGCCGCTGACAAGATAGAAACTGAATTCATCTAAATTCTGATAGATGAAAGTGAGGATAGTTACAGAACAAAGTGAACATACTTAACGCCACTGAAGTGCGCACTCAGGATGATAATTTTATGTTTTTCAAACTTTGCCACAATTTAAAAAGTGTTTTTCAAAATAGTAAAGGAGGGAGTGTTTAGCCACAGTTTACGGCTCCGCAGCTGCTGCTCTCCAGAGGCTCTGTGCCAGGAGGACCAAGACTGCTGTTTACCGCTGCCATCTGCCAGTCACTACCGCTTCCCACCCCTGGTGGATTCCGAAAACGGTGCCTGCAGTTAGCGGCTGCTTAGAAGCAGATACCTTGACTATAAATTGGCCGGGCTGTCACCAAAGACAATGCTTCATGCACACCATTTCCACCTGGTGGCCAAATTGGTAATGTGTGTGGGAATAACGATGAAGCAGACACCCCTGACCAAGCCATGCGTCACACACGGCCCTGATCATATAACCTCACGCCAGCCCCAGGGAATCACTCTATTATGTCATCTCTGTTGTACAGATGAGGAAGCTGAGGCTCCAAGTTATTTTATAACTGACCTCAGTTCATATAGAGTGAAACCAGGATTCGAACACAGGTTTCTCTCATGCCAAAGGCCAGACCACTTCCCGAGGCCAATGATTCCCAATTTCTTTGTGCACATGAGCCTTTTCTAACGGCAAACATCTTCACAGACCTTCACAGACCGGCACATGGTAGTAGTCATACTTTCAATGTCTCCTGGCTGAGAAAATATTTAATGACCGAAAGCTACCCAAATCCAAGAATTCTGTGCATCCCAACAGCTATAGCATAGAGCAGGGGTCCCCAAACCTTGGGCCGGGACTGATACCAGTCCATAGCTGGTTAGGAACCAGGCCACACAGCAGGAGGTGAGCGAGCGAAGCTTCATCTGTATGTGCAGCCGCTCCCCAGCGCTAGCATCACCGCCTCAGCTCCGCCTCAGATCATCAGGCATTAGATTCTCATAGGAGCACCAGTCTCTGGTGCCAAAAAGGTGGGGGACCGCTGGCATAGAGTTTTAAAATCACGACACCGGATGTGAGTCATGAGGCATTTAATTGATTCTGAAGCCCTCGGGGTCGCTCTTTGCCCCCAAGCTGGGCACCCCTGAGCTGGGCACCCTCAAACCGTACCATGAATCAGTTGAAGGGTCTGGAGAGCCAGAGCCGCCTTAGAATGTAGGCTAGGCCCGGGGGATTGTGTAAATACGGCCAACGTCAGGTACTTCTTGGGAGAGCTACATGAGTCTTTGCATCCCATTTTCGGGGCGGGGCTGGGGGGAGACTGAGGCAGTGTGAGCTTTGGAAGGACAGTCATTATTCTTGCCCATCACAAACTAGTCTTTCACAGTGGCATCAGTCTCCCAGAGCAGAGCTCTGAAAATGAGCAGCTGAAGACCTGTGAACAGTGGTTAAATCTCTTCCATTTTCCTTTAGCCCTCTTCATTTGCTTTTCTCCAGTCTTTAGAGATCTCCAGCTATAGCTGCTGGGAAGAAATTGTGTCAGGAGGAGAAAAAGAAAAGGAAAGGAAAGGAGAAAAACAACTTCTTGGCATTTATTCTCAAGTCGAAGGGTTCATACGGCCAAGTCTCATTGCTCATTTTCATTCACTCTACGAATATTTATTGAGCACGGCATCTGCGCCAACCGCTGTTCTAGGCACCGAAGATTCACTAGTGAGCACAAAACAAATACACACTCAGCCCTTGGTGAACGTACATGCTAGTAGGACACAGACTATAAGTGAGATTTTAAAAAGTAAAATTGGTAGTAAGCCGCATGGTCTTAAGTGCCACGGAGCTAAAGAAAGCAGAGAAGCGAGATGGGCACGTATCTGGTAGGCGTGTGAGGTTGTGCCTGCCCTTGGAAGGTGACAGTTAAGCAAAGAGGTGAAGGAAAGAGGGAGGGAGACATGTGGGTGTCAGGGGAAGACCAGGAAGAGGGAACAGCAAGTCAGTGTGGCTGGCGCAGAGTGAGCGAGAGGGGTGGAGGAGGCGGGGGGTAGGTCACAAAGGGCTTTGCAGGCCATGGCAAAGACTTTGACTTTTACTCCATGGGAGGGCACCCATGAGCAGAGGAGCAAAACCATCTGACCTTCCTGCAGTATAATTTACATGCTACAAAATCCCCCCACTTTAAGTGTACAATTCAATGATTTTTACAAAGTCATACAACCATCCCCACACCCCAGTTTTACATTTCTGTCATCCCCAAAAGATACCTCATGCCCGTGATTTGCATTTTAAAGGGATCCCTTTGGCTTCTGTGTTAAGAATAAAAAATAAAAGGTAGAAGTAAAGAAAGTGTGAGAAAGAAATGTTTTTTGCTGCACAGAAGTGACAAAAAGAACTAACAGTGGAGGAAGTAAAGACATGACTGGTAGAGCTTTTTATTTTTAATTACTGGAGGTTCGGAGCCTCCTTAATGCCAACGTTATAACAGGATGAAGGGCCTCCAGCTTTAACAGGAAAAGTAAGATATTAATAACATTCAGAGAACTGTTTATGAAATGAGAAATCCAAGCCTAAAAGCTGTACCCACCTGTGACTCCTGAACTTAAAGATGACAGAATGCACGTTGGACCCCGCCTTCTTTTATGTAAAAAGTCTATTTATAAAGCTATAGGACCATTTTTATACCTCAAAAAGTAATAAGAAGAAAAGTTGATGGTAGCAATAGGAATAAATCTAAACATGTATCAGGAAACGTTCACTCTCCCTGCAGCAAAAACACAGTGAGGTCTCATATTAGTTGTTATTAAAACGTTGAATTCCAGTTTCTTTTGTTGGTCTTGAAAAGTGGGAGCGTCCTGCACTGAGTTCTCACCGTGATGTGAGTTGTCAACAGTGCCCATGGGAGGGGCCTGCTTGACATGAAAAGTGGTTTTCTGTATAGCTGGAAGGCTGAAATCTTCTGGTACTATAAGGTTTTGGATTAAGCAATGAATGTTGGCATTTTTTCATTTTCAACATCTACAACAGCGACCAGCATCTTCTCTTCCTAACTCAAATTTCCCCTCCTGGAACATCCCGTTATGGGAATAGTCAGGCAATGATGGCTCTGAGCTGCCATACAGAATTCTGCCGTGGGTGGGTCTAAAGTGATACTCGCCAACTTCCCTTAGCTAACACCTGTGCGTTTCTGAGAGCATGCCATGTGGCCTATCTCCAGGTTTGACACATTGCAGAGAACAAATCCTCTTTAAAACATGAGAAGAGCACCTCCAAGTGTGGCGACAGTCTGAGAATGAAAGAGGAAAGGTCTAGTAAGACAGTTGTCAGCCAGCTTCAGAGATGAGGAAATGTGTTTCCAGCTCGCCTCCCACCCTGCCTTGATTTGGCTGTGCCCTGGACTGTTCTATGAGGTATAACTACTAGGCTCAGTTCAAGGTCACAGGCAACTGCTTTGTTGCTTTTCATAACAGCGTTTCCATTTTTGTAGCCACTTCGGGATCCTCATAGCTGCCCTGGGCAACCCAATCAGGAATCCTGCATTACCACTGCTGGCCACAAGGGGCCCCAGCCCTCCAGCTGTCAGCACCCAGGGCTGCAAAGTGGTCCCAGCTCTTGAGGGAGAGCAAGATTTTGTGGGCAGATCAGCGGCCTTGAGTGGCCAGCCCCCAAAGAGAGCTGCCAAGCTCAGTCATGAGCCCTGGGCCAACAACCATTAGGCACTGTGGGAGCAGTGATAACCCACCTGCGATCACTGTGCTTTGTGTTGTTACTGCAAAGAGCAGAGAACATGTCTAAGTTCAGGCAGTCTAAGTTCTGGTCCCAGCTTTGTTTCCACTGCCTATTAAGAGACATTATCCTGATGCTATTGGCTTTTGAAATATTATTATAAATTATAATTCCCACAGTGAACCCGTGTTAAATAAATTGTTGGCAAAGACGGTCTCGGTCTCTAAGCATAGTTTTGCTGCCAACGAAACAGTCAGTGCAGCTGATGAGGGTACTACCTGTCCCGGGACCCATTCACCCCCATTTCTGCATTCCCACCTTCCCGCCACACTGCACAGGCCCCAGGCAACTGTTGTCGAGGAAGACTATGGTGTCTCCTACCTGGCATATGCGATGATCCAGCGCCTTTCAGTCTTTTGTAAAGGAAGATGTTTCATTTGAGTCCATGGCCGGTTGTGAGCTTCATGAGTGGTAGAAGTAGACATGGGTCCCAGTTCAGGCCATGTCACTCACTAGCCATGTGACGTTGAAAATATCTTTGGTATTTCTTAACTCTACAATGGGAATAATGGTGCTTTGCAGGAATAGATCAGGCACACGAGAGGCTTGACCCAGGGCTTAGAACTCAGTAAGTGGAAGCCCCATTACTGTGCGCGTATGTGTTTGCATGCCTGTGTGCATGAATGTGTGTGCATGAATGTGTTTACATGAATATGTGTGTTTGCACATGTGCATGAGCGTGTGAGTATACGTGTTTGCACATATGTGTGTGAGTATGTGAGTGCACCTGCATGTGTGTGTACGTGTGTGTGACATCCATCTCCTCTACCACTGTTGGAGAGTCCCTCCCAGGACCTCCTATGGCCAGGGACACTGACAGCCTTTGCCGGGGTCTCTCACCAGATTGCCAAGGGATCATCGAGGATGTCGTCCTGCTGGGTGCGCCTGTGGAAGGAGAAGCCAAGCATTGGGAGCCTTTCCGGAAGGTGGTGTCCGGAAGGATCGTCAATGGCTACTGCAGGTCTGTCCCAACCCCAGGCCAGGGGGGAGGTGACACTTACTGCCCAGGCCTTGTGCTGGGGACAAAGATGTTTGAGGCCTCTGTCCTGGAGGATCCCAAGGACCGGGGAACACTGGCCTGTTAGTGTTCTGACCTGGGAAGCCTCTGTCCCCATGGGATGAAGGTCTGGAAAAGGGTCTCCTTGTGTCAGGCCTGGGACCAGCCTACAGGGTGATAGGAGAGGCCAGGCTCGTCACCATGATCTAGAGGAAGAGGGACGTGAGTGAGTGGGACATAGACTGAAAAACAAAGATTAGGCCTCAAATGGGAGGTCTTCAAATGCCAACTAGGAGCTCAGACATGCGTGATTCTGCAGTCCGAGAACGGGGCGGGGGGGCCTAGGCTGAGCACTCCGAGCAGGGTCGGGGCAGGGTGATAGAACAGGAAGCTGACAGCGATGAGGGGGCCAGTACCCACACTATGTGACGGACCTCCGGCAAGAGGTGGGCGTCCTGCCATGGCTGATGGCCGTGGGCTGGAAAGGAGGTAGCCCTGGTTTGGGGTTTGAGAAGAAGACTTGAGGGGTTTCAGCCAAGGCTGTGCCCCCAACTTTGAGGAAGAAGAGAAATGAAGTCCACCACTGAGACCGCGGGAGATCGGCCTGAGAAGGTGCCCGGGCCCGTCAGCCTCCGGAGGAAGCAAAGGACAGGGTGATGGTGTTTAAGAGCTCACGATTTGGAATTGCACAGACCTGGGTCCCCTTGCTGGCCTCGATTTCTCCATCAGTAAAGAAGGGATAATACTAGTGACTCCCCCTAGGATGTCGATGACAGTTAAACAAGTTTAGAGCTGCACACGGTATGTACATGCAGATGATGTTCCCAAGCCCCGGCCCCACGGAACCTAGCATCCGGCAGAGAAAATAGTCAGGAAAACAGAAAGCTCCAGTCAGACAAGAAGCTTGTCTGCAACACCAAAATCCAGATGCTCTGAAAACAACAGCTTCTCACCAGGGGTAGCACCAACTCATTTAGTGACAAACTTGCCCTGAGCTGATGAGAGAGATTTCTAGGCTTTACTTCTTTCTCTGGGTTTGTGGGCTGAGTGACTTGAGGGCAGCACCCCAAACCTTACAGGGGTGTTATATGATACACAGGGTACCAGCCAGATCACTTTCCTAAAATCTAAAACATTATTCTGAATTCTGAAATCAACAGGCCTCTGAAGATTGTGGATAAGGGACCCATAATTTGGGGTCATTGCCACAAAAGTGTAGAGTGCTGACCACATTCCAAGCCCAGATCTAATGGACAAATTTGGAATTTAAGAAGCGGTAAGGTTGGGTGACTAGTTGTTAATGACTAGCTCCATTAACACAACTTTAAAAATAACAGTTAAAAAAATAATAATAAGGAGGTGTAGGACTTGTTGGGGAAGCGGCTGATTCAGTGGGTTATGAAGAAGTTTCCAGGAAATGCAGCACTAGGGCTCAGAGGAATTAGAATTACAGCAGGGTCCAGTGGGATCTTCAGCTTCCGCTGAAGCCAGAGGGAAAGACAAAGTGTGGAAAGGGAGGAAATGCCGGATTCCTGGTTCTAAGGACTGTATTTCAGGGTGGGAGGAGGAAGAGTCTCCACCAAGGTTACGGGCAACTCAGAATCATCCAACATACTGTGCCCGAGACCGTGTGCTGGCCGTAGGGACACAAAGATGGACATGATGAGACGCTCACGTCTAGTAGGAGGGACACGTATGGAAATAGACAATTATTTTTAAAAACCTAAAAATGCAATAATGCAGTGATGGGGGCAGGGGGGCGGAGTATAATAAGTATTTGACTCTTACCACCTGCCAGACCCTGTCTTCCTTGTAATTATCTCCCTTAATCCTCCTCAGAACCCTATGATGTTAGAATTATTAATGCCATTTTATGAGTGTGGAAACTGAGACTCAGAAAGGTTAAGTCAAGAGGCCAATGAACTCTAGTCTTTATCTAAGCCCAGCCATCCTAAGTAGGTTCCAAGACTGAATGGAACAGATTTGGAAAGTTCTTATCAATTTGATGATTTAGCCCACAGCAAAAGTGTATAGTTCAGAGCTAAAGATAAAGATGACTTTAAGCCATGGATAGAGGGCATTAGTCAGGACGCAGGAGATAAGCCCATCACTTTGTCTCTATCACTCATACTCTAAGCTGAGTTCTTTGAATCAGAATATGGTAAAAAGAACAAAGAAACAAATGACAAAGAGCCATAACACATAAAGAGCTTATGTAAATCAATCAATAAATAAATATATATA